ACACACACACACACACACACACACACACACACACACACACACACACACAAGTTCTGCAGCCCTAAACTGTGCACAGGGAGGAAGCCCACCCAAGGATACAGAGCTACAGATACTCTCCCTAAGTCAGAAGAATTGCTTCAACTGCTGCGTCACCCTGCAGGGCTAGTAGACACTCACAGGGATCTGGGATTGCTGACAGCCTTGTACTGATGGGTTAGTTCTCCTAAGCACCCTCTCAGACCTCTAGGTCCCTCACCTCCTCCGAGAAGCCTTCCTGGACATGTCTTTGGCATGCCCTCTCACAGCACGAGGTCATAGGCATTCAAGGGCCTCCTAGCTTCTGTACTTGCTCTGGTTGTTTGATGACAACCTTTGTGTACAATGGACTGACCTCGAGGATGTGGCCCAGGGAGGGAAACACCACTTTCATCCCTGTGTAGAGTCAGGAGCTACTGTGTTTTACCAGCGCTTATCAAAAGCAGGGTACTCCTCTGGGCATTGGAATTACTCCCTCATTCCTCAAGCCATTTCCTCCAGGCTGGACCCAAGTCTGTTTCATGGAAGGACAGAGAGGTGACAAGATCCAACATCACACAACTTATTAGTACTTAGGACTCTGTGTTTGAACCCATTCAGTCCTTCACAGAAGCCAGCTTAACCAACCACCAAAAGAATTAGTTGAATTAACAATCTGGTCTTGGTTTTGATACTGTGGATATGAAGTGATTGGTGTAGGTCCCACTGGCAGGATTAAGGGAGGGACTGACTGAAGGGCTCTGGGTAAGGAGAATAGGCTAGAGATTCAGCTATCCCCAGCCAGCCAATGTTGTATAAGGCGGGGAAGGGAAACAGACAAAGAGAGGTACTAGGTGGTTTGGGAAGAGTCTCCCCTCTTTTCCCATCCCTTGCCCTCAGTCTCCTCACCTGTGAAATGGAGTCATCATTGTGTCAGACATTCAGGTTTATACTGAAATTCATTCCCTTCCCACAGAGGAGCAAGACAATGGGGACAGATACTCTTGCTAAGTCAGTGGGAACTCTTGACCCCATAGTGAGGACTAGGCACCAGGGAAAAAAAAAAAAGCACTGTCTCCCAGGCTGGGTTCCTGAGGTCAGTCCATTGAATCCCCAGGATGGTGTGGGCAGCTGTGTATCTGTTGGATCTCAGCCCGCCTCTTCTGGGCCACAGAAGAAGACTTGAGTAAGCAGACACTGAGTGCCCGGTATCTCTAAAGGAGAGAGGGCCAGTGGGGAGGGGACCCAGCCACCCTGGGTAATGGAGGCTGCTTCTTTCAGAGTCCCTGAAAACTGGATTGACCCTGAGAAGCCAAGGAAATAAAGAAACAGGCTCTGTGTCGGGGGAGGGACAGGTGGCCTAGTCCCTAAACCTCTTCTAAGGTGATGCAGCCAGTATTATCTACACCGTCAGCACTGGAAAGCTGAATCAGAATTTCCCCTCCTTCTTTAGAGCACTCAGGGAGCCCTTCATCAGTAATGGTGAATCGAGTACACACAGAGAGAGAGAGAGAGAGACAGAGAGAGAGAGACAGAGAGAGACAGAGAGAGAGGCAGAGAGAGACAGAGACAGAGAGAGACAGAGAGAGAGAGAGAGAGAGAGAGACAGAGAGAGAGAGAGACAGAGAGAGACAGAGAGACAGAGAAGAGAGAGACAGAGAGATAGAGGTGGATGGAGGAAGAGAGAGAGACCACTTTACCCGCATTTCTAACGTGTTTTGGTCTCATTGTCATATGTAGGTGTTTACTCCACAGTTGGCAATGAGGAAACGGGGTGCACAGAGTCCTAGCATTTCTTCCAGGTTCCACCACAGGACATTAGCAAACAGAAAGAAAAACAATTGCCCTTCCTGCTTCCAAAGGCTCTGGAGCGGTGGGCCCAATGTCCTCACCTGTTCACCATCACCCCAGCCCTGCCCTGGCCCCAGCAGATACCTGATGCTCCCCGGAAAGGTGTACCTCACCCAGTCCTCTCTCCTGGCCCCTGGGTCTGGCATTGAGGCCCCATATCGGATTACAGCCCCCCCCCAAGGGCTCCCTTGCACACAACTTGCCACTTTGTTGCAGTAGGAAAGTTCTCTAGCTCTGGGTGCTGACCCCAAGCTGACTCACTCACCTGGATTGGGCCCCGGAGTCCAGGGACTTCCTGGGCCCAGGGAGAAAACAGGAGCCTATTCTGGGGCCCTGTAGATGTTGAAGTTGGCACTGTCTGAGAGTGAGGCTTTGGGAGTAGGGGTGTGGGGGTGTCATGGATGGAGAGAAGCCTGGCCACCTTAGAGTTCATCTGCCCCCCCCCAAAAGAGTGAACACTCTGAGTGTGGTTAGTGAGGAAGGGGTAAGGGTCATGGCAGGCAGGTTTGCTCCCCAGTCTGACTCAGCAAGCAACCCCCTACAGGCCCAGCAGGGAGCTGGAGGGCAGAAGGGGTGGGGTCTTTGGTGCCAGAAAAGATGACTGGGCAATCCTTGAGGACCCAGAGCTTCTGCCAAAAGCAGCCTTCCTCACCCCTAGCCTGATCCCCACGGAACATCCAGCCCGCTACTCCAAGCCCGCTACTCCAATACAAGGCGGCACCTCCAGAGAAGGGAGTCCCCCCCAGGAAGCTAGGATGGATGCAGGGCGAGGTTTGTAAACCCTAGGACCCCGCGGGGACTCCGGAGGCAGCGCTAGCAAATGGAAGAAGTTCTGGAAGCAAAAGCTTGCAGGAACCCGGCTCTCAAACCCCAGGAAGTCTGGAGCCTGAGATGCCAGAGTCCTCCGATGCCATTTTGAAGACCCAGGCGTCCTCCTCCCTCCACATCGCAACACCAGGCAGAAACCTGCTCCCTAGACTGACTGTCTCCAGGGTTTCCCTGGCGCGAAAGTTTGAGTCTCGTCTGCGGCGCTGGTCCGCCCTGTCTCCCGGGTCCATATCTAGCGGGGCCAGCAGCGGATACCTGGATCACCATCTCCATCCATCGCTGCGGCGCTGTCGAGAGAGAGGAGCCTGAGCGCTGCGGGTGGCGAGTCCTGGAGCTGCCCGCGTCAGCCGGGCCCGCGCCGCCGCGCCTCTTAAAGGCCCCGTGCGCCCCGCCTCTGGCCCCTGGCTGAGGGCCGGGAGTCCTGCACCCCCCGTAGCCCAAGGTACGGCTTCTGGGAGGAGCCGGGGACTGGAGAGGGGCAGGGACAGCTACAGGATGGGGAGGACTCCAAGTGTGCCTGGAGGATGGATGCAGGGGGACATCTGGGGTCAGACTGCTAGGGAGCAGAGGGTGCAAGCGCCGAGCCTAGTGGAATTGGGGGTATCGGAGCCTTCTTGCCCCCCCCCCCAGGTAATTTTCCTACGCTGTGGTGGGGGCTAGTCCCGGGAGTGCGCGGGTGAGGCGGGACCTGGAGGAATAGTGGGCGGGGCCTTGCGGGCAGTGGGCGGGGCCTCACCTGAGCCAACACTGGCAGAAAGCCGCAGTTCCGAGACCCAGCCAGCATTCGTTTTAGGGCAGCCGAACCAAGAGCCGGTGACAGAGAAAATGGGGTGGAGCTGAGGGCGTGGTCTGACAAACAGTAGGCGGGTCGCACCCCGGGCCACCATTAGCCCGGATGGCTCACCCCCAAGAACCAAGGGTATGGCGCAGCGCGACCAAACGTGGGTGACAAGGAGAATGGGAAGGGAGAGGAACCAGTGTTGTGGGGCGGGGTCTGATGAGTAGTAGGCGGGGCTGTGTCTTAGGTGCAGTTCTCCAACGCTCAACCCCGCTAAGAGCAGGTAACAGCAGGAAAGGAGCAGTGAGCGCCCCAGCAGGGTGACGTTTGGAGAGTAGTAGGCAAGTCTGCATTCCGGGCCACGCAGGCTCGGGCTGTACAACCCCACAGCCTGGCAGGATCGCTCAGAGCGGCGGATCGCAGGTGACTGCGGGAAGGGGAGCGCCCAGCGCGGGGACTGAGACGCAGTGGGCAGAGACCTAGCGGGGAGGAGGGGCGCGCTCTGCAATCCTGAGGGCCTAGCGCCTTTAAGGCCCAGGCCTCAAGCTTTGCCCCAGCTGTACTGTGAGGCTTCGAAGAACTGGGCTATGGATGCCATCGGTACTCAGAGACTTGAATCTGGTCTTGAGCATTTTAGGGCTACGCATAAATGGGAGACTACATGGGCCCTGGGCGGGGGTAAGGGAGGGAGAGATAGGAAGGCTCTTCCAGTCTTAAATCTTCCCTCAGGTTCAGGTAAACGGGTCAAATTCTCTGAGATCTTGAGAACGTCATTGAGCCTTTTGTACTCCGTGACTGGTCCTGAGGACCAGTGATAACCCTCGATCTCCATCTCTCCCCCTTTCCCCGTGTGGGGGATGGGAGGAAATGAAGAGTGGCAAGCTGGAGTGCTCACAAGGCTTCCCATTGTTACCTTCCTCTTAAAAGACTGCTGGCCTATTGAAAATGGCTGGCTCTAAATTCAGTGAGGGCCGGGTCTGCCTCCCCTCCTCTCCCGTTGGTGTGACCTTGGGACGCTCCCTGGGCCTCCTTAGAAGCTGTTCTTAGGCGCCCGGGTTGGGGGAAACCAGATCTCATCGTTTATTAAGCAACTCCCAGCCTGTGCACCTTGAACTGCTGGTGACCCTGGAGGGAAGTACCATTCCCCGGCCCTGTTTACTGTGGAAACTGAAGGTCAGAACAGCACAGTGACTCTGGAGAACGTCATTGGGAGCTGGGTTGGGAATCTCTCTATCCCTGGGTGCTGGGATTGTCACTGGCCAGGGAGAAGGCTGGGTGTATAGCACAGCTCTCCAATACCCACAGGAGCAGGCTAGAAGCCACCACCATGGCTGTAGGCAACATTAATGAACTGCCAGAGAACATTCTGCTGGAACTGTTCACCCACGTCCCGGCCCGCCAGCTGCTGCTGCGCTGCCGACCTGTCTGCAGCCTCTGGAGAGACCTCATTGACCTCGTTACACTCTGGAAGCGCAAATGCCTTCGAGAGGGCTTCATCACCGAGGACTGGGACCAGCCTGTGGCTGACTGGAAGATCTTCTACTTCCTGCGCAGCCTCCAGAGGAACCTCCTTCACAACCCTTGTGCTGAAGGTTGGTGCCGAGAGTATGCCTCAACAGGACACATGCTGTTAGGTGACCACAGTATGTGTCCTAAACACTGGCTATGAGCCCTTTGGCTACATTATGGCCTTTATTCCTCACAGAATAATTCTTAGATGCAAGTACTACTGACATACCCACTTTCCAAATAGATAGACTGAGGTCACGGTACTGTCTATTATAGATTATTTCTCAGCTGGGTATGAGGGCACACACCTGTAATCCCAGCACTTGGGAAGTGGACACAAGAGGATAGAGTGTTCAAGGCCAGCTGTTAGAGGCCAGTCTGGGCTACTTGACTCTGTCTCAAAGCAAACCAGTTACTTCTCAGTTGGTAATGGCACTAATACTTGGAATCCCACCACTCGGAAGACTGAGGCAGGAGGATCGTGAGTTTGAGGCTAGCCTCCCCTAAAATCTTTCCTAGGAAAAGAAATGAGGCCTCACAGACCCCAGGTTAAACATACAGACTGTTCCAAAAGGGGCCTTGCCTATGGATGAAAGAGTGATGAAGTCTCCTCTGCCTTCTGGTTCAAGAACAGGTCACCTTCTAGTCACCCTGATCCAGCCCAGGCTGTTCTGAAGCCCGAGGATACACTACAATATGGGAAGGACCATGATTTCTGTTACATGCTCAAACTTCAAGAAAAGCCGTGAGGGCATTAGTCCAGGCAGCCCAGAGCCTCCAGCTGCCTGTCTGTGTCCTTTGACCCCCCCCCCATCCCAGTCATGCTGTTATAGATTGCTGGGCAGACCACATCCCAGACCAAGCCAACAGACTGAGAAGAGTTTTATGGTTTGATTTGCTTTGTTTGATAAATGGGATGACACAGGGTCTCTCTATTATGACAATAAAGGTAGCCCTTGCTGTCCTGGAACACACTATGTAGACCAGGTTGACCTTGAACTCATAGAGACCCACCTGTCTCTGCCTCCCAAACACTGGCATTAAGGAACGCGCCACCATGCCCAGCTGAGTTTTTAAAGGATTATAAAAATAGAAACAAAAGACTATATGGTAGAGGTAGCGTGTAGCCCCATAACCTAAGATATTATTGCACTCTGCAGAGAGCTTCCCAGAGCCTTGTCTTTTGACGTTTATTTATGTTAGGTAGTGTGGTTGGGCAGTTGTGCACGCTACTGAAGACATGTGGAAGTCAGAGGACACCTTGTGAGAGTCAGGTTTCTCCTTCCACTGTGTGGGATCCTCAGATACCCACCTCAGGTCAGCAGGCTTGGGGGCAAGGGTCTTTACCTGATGAGGCATTAGCTGGCTTTGGGTTTTTGGGGGGGTTGGGTTTTTTTTGGTTTGTTTTTTGTTTTTGTTTGTTTGCTTTTGGTTTTTGGTTTTGTTTTGAGATAGGGTCTTGCTATCTTGTCCTGTCTGACCTGGTACTCATTATGTGGCCTAGCTTGACCTTGAACTCACAGCAATCCTCCTACCTCAGCCTGCTGGGATGGCAGGTGTGTGCAACCACAATTTAACCTCTGTGCTTGACAGTAGCTGGCAAAGGGACCAAGGCACAGAGAAGGAAAGTGACATATCTATAGCCAGACAACCCATTACTGCTGGAGTTGAATGAGATTCAAATCTGTCTGCCAGCACTCACCATTAAGAGAGGGAGTTCAGCCATCCAGCATTCTCAGTGGGAGTCTCTTAACTACACACAAGGCACACGGGAAACACCCACAACACACGGGCTGGAGGGCAGCTTGGAGGTCCTGGCCCTGAGCAGGAGGAAGGGGTGCTTGGAGGTGGTGTCCTGAGGGCCCTCCTACATGGTAGACTCTGTTCTCATCACAGAGGGATTTGAGTTCTGGAGCCTGGACGTGAACGGAGGAGATGAATGGAAGGTGGAAGAACTCTCCAAAGACCAGCGGAAGGAATTCCCCAATGACCAGGTCAAGAAATACTTCGTGACTTCCTATTAGTAAGATCTAGGGCCTTGGGGTGGGGGGAGCCCGCATCTTAACATCAGGGTCCAGTGCTGAACTCCAGTCCCTCCTCCCCCGTCCCCCAGCACCTGCCTCAAGTCCCAGGTGGTGGACCTCAAGGCTGAAGGGTACTGGGAGGAGCTGATGGACACCACCCGGCCGGACATCGAGGTCAAGGACTGGTGAGTGCTGGGGCGAGGGTCTGGGGGGGGGTCTGCCGCCCAGGCGCCCCACCCCTGCCCTGCCCCCCATCTCCCAGGTCTTCATGGGCCCTTCCTTCTATCTGCAGGTTTGCAGCCAGGCCAGACTGCGGGTCCAAGTACCAGCTGTGTGTCCAGCTCCTGTCATCAGCCCACGCACCACTGGGAACCTTCCAGCCAGACCCGGTGATGATCCAGCAGAAAAGCGATGCCAAGTGGAGGGAGGTACGTGGACAAGGTCCCCACAGGGACCTATGCTCAACCCTAACTCTGCCTTGTCTCACCTGGGCCTCACTTGCTGTAGTAGAAGAATAGGAGAAAGCTTCCAGCATAGACATCAGAGGTGGGAAGACAGGGAGAGCCCCCAACCCCCAGAAAAACTTTTCAAAAAGGATGTCTCCATGGTGGACTGATTGCCCAGCATACACAAAGCCCCGTAGTTCCACCCCCAATACTAAAACGTAAATAAACAATTGGACCTAAAGACATGCCCTCCGCAGTTCAGAATACTTTTGCTCTTGAAAAAGGTAGGTTCAAATCCTACCACCCACATGGTGGCTCACAGCCACCTGTCATTCCAGTTCCAAGGGATTCAAATCCCCTCTTCAGTCTTTGCAGATACCAGGCACATGCAAAGCACATATGATATACATACATGCTGGCAAAACATTCATATTCTTAGAATAAAATTATATATATTGTGTGTGTGTGTGTGTGTGTGTGTGTGCAACCAGAAATGCTGGTGTTGGCAAACTGAGGCAGCAATGGGCAAAGGCTAGCCTGGCAACTTAGGGAGACCTTGTCTCAAAATTAGAATCAGTGAAAAAGAGAGAAAAAGAGAGGGCTGGAAATAGCATTCAGTGGCTGAGTGCCTGCCTAGCATGAACTGGCTCAACTCCAGTATCACAGAGAAATAAAATAAAAACATACAAAGACAGCTAGGTGGTGGTGGCAGTGGCAGAGGTGGCAGCGCACACCTTTAATCCCAGCACTGGGGAGGCAGAGGCAGGTGGATCTCTGAGTTCAAGGCCAGCCTGGTCTATAGCAAATTCTAGGTCAGCTGGGACTATACAGAGAAACTCTGTTTCAAAAAAACTAGAAAATTAATTAATTGACTGACTAATTAAATTTAATTAAAATAAATGGTCAGGACCACGTATGGTTGTTCATGCCTGTAATCCCAACACTTAAGAAGTAAATGCAGGGGGCTGGAGAGATGGCTCAAGAGCATTGACTGCTCTTCCAGAGGTCCTGAGTTCAATTCCTAGCATCCACACAACCACATGGTGGCCTTTTGCAAGAGCAAAAGTATTGTGAACTGCCGAGGGCATGTCTTTAGGTCCAACCATCTGTAATGGGATCCAATGCCCTCTTCTGGTGTGTCTGAAGACAGCTTCAGTGTACTAGTCATATATATAAAATAAATAATTCTTAAAAAAAAAAAAAAGAAGAAGTAAATTCAGGAGGATTAGGAGGGCCGCTATAGAAATTTCCAGAACAACATGTACCACCTAAAACCCTGTCTGAGGAAGGGAGGGAGGGAGGGAGGGAGGGAG